TTTGGAGATTTTTTTGTGGGGTATTTTTTTGTTTCTGTTTTTCTTTTTGTTTTGTTTATTTTGGGGTTTTCTTCTTTGAATCCCCCAAACAAAAAGTGTTATTTTCATGAGATCTTTTTGCCAATATTGATCTCTCTCAAAGCCTGGTACTTCAGATTATAAACAAGCGCTGTAAAATAAGCTTGCTGGAATCATGAAAACAATCTCATTTTCAACTGGTAGCTTACGCTAGGACTAAGAAGAGAAAGGCAATACGTGGGGTGGAGTCTCTTCAGAGAGGAATGGTCTTGCTACATTACTTCCATTGTAAGCTCTGAACTCGGCCATAATACCAACAGGATTCCCAAAGGTCACATTTTCTTCAATCATGAGCCGTTTTTACTCTCTTACTAGCCTGTTATCAGATAAAGCAGAGTTACTATTCCCTCATATCTTCATTTAAGATTTTTTTCCTTTGGCTTAGAATCATGAAGCTTAATAGGGCACGCTAAGTGTGTGGGTTACACGTGTATTCCCAGTACCCCAGAGACAGAGGCAGGAAGATTGTAAATTTGAGGTCACCCTAGGATACAGTGTAAGACCTTGTCTCAAAAAAAGAAAAAGAAATAGATAAAAAATAGGCAGCTGCCTAGCTCGTGCCATATAAGCACAGTTCTTAGCTTTAGAGTCATTGCTGGCTGACAGCTGACAGTGATGTTCACATGTGTCTGTCTTTGCTGCCTTCATTTTCTTGGTTCCTCCTTTAATTTCCCCAAATGGTCCCCTGTCTGAGGATGGCAAGACTGACTCTCATTCTACACGTGGAAACAGGCTTGGTTGGTTCCAACTTTAGGAACGTGAGTCTGATGCTCATTGTGTGGCTCTGGCAGCTACAGAGTCGTGGCCACCTGTCATGGTGGCACAGTTCCCATACACACCATGACGTGCCAGTTTCACTCGGCAGAGCTGCCAGCCAGAGGGTGGTGAAGAGGGCTAGCTTGTACAATGTGCTGCTTTTGCTGAAAGGAGAGCTTCCCACTGGAAGGAGTGCCAAGCCAGAGGCACATGCTTCATTAAATTGGTCACATCTGTTGGCACTTGTGGGTGTTAGTGCTGACAAGTGTCTTTCTGCTGGGTTGCATTTTTTTTTCCCTGTGTTCCCTTTACTCTGTCAGTGTTTGCCTCCATTGACCTAAAGGACTGAATTGTCTTAGATAATAGAGACATGGATTGGAACAGGGAAAACATTATCAAGGCAGATCTCTCCTACATTCTAGATCTTGAGCTGTTGATATTCTCTGTGCTGTCTAACTGTCCTAGAGTGAAATGGACTTCCTCAAGGTGAAAGATAACATGATGGTGTGGCTGGTTTCTTTCATGCTCTCCTGGGTCTTCTGAGTTTAAAATCTAACAGTATGGACAAAGATGGGACAGTGTAAAGGTGACATTCCAAGGCGCTCATACAAAGCTGTGCACTAGT